ATCCTCACGCAACGCAACCATAATTACATCTGTCAGAGTCGTCGAGCTCTGATGGAAAAATTTCAGTCTTAAGAGGATCATAAGAGAGTCCTACCAAAACCACGGTGACCATCACTGCCTCTGGCAGTGATTCAGTTACCATATTGGCACAAAAATCACGGAGCTTCTGTACAATGCACCGTTGTCTTGACGGCATGATAAAACTTCGACTTTGTCAAAATGCCGCATTCGGTGGAAGGAACATCAAGTTCATGGCCTTTGTCATTCTGGTCATGTGGCAAAGTAGCCAGGGTAGTTGACTTCCCAGATCATCGCTGAATCCTTTGCACGGCCATCCAATCGCGACAAGGCAAAGGTCACTTGACTACGGTCATCACGAATATGAGACATCGTGAAAGCGATTTCCATTTCTCGCTAACAGAACGCAAGATTTGTATCTTCGGTTTTGATAAAGCGTTTCAACTCGATATTCACGGGGCATTTCGTGTGTGCCGACAGTGTCACCAGGGAGTTGACGGAACCGGCGTCGGTTTGTTTCGCGATACCCCCCCCCAATAATTCTTGCTTATCGCAGCAAAAGTGCTAAGCGTTGATTTATCGCTTTTGATCTAATTGAAATCCGCGTGATCTCCAATCAAAGCTCGCAGCTTCACCATACACTCCCAAGTGTCAAAAGACTGAATATTCCTTCCTGTTGATCCAAGAAAGACCACCGCCTGTGGTGTTCACAGTAACCATCGATAAATTCATTGAATTCGTCGGCGTTGGGATGACTTCTAGTGCTACCAAGTGTATCGGGAATAGCCTGTCCATGTGAACACACTTACTGAAGGAGGCTTAGGTCGCATGGCATGCCTCACCGTGTTGCTCGCATTTAGCGGGTTGTTGGCTTATAAAAGAAGAGTGAAGGTGAAGTGACATTTGTCAATATAGTCAATAGGCTATTAACTTCCTAACCTGATAAGTATTCCCAGTTTTGATACAACAGAATTGAAATGGGATGTACAACTGTAATAAATGTACAGTTCATGTCAGACTCACAAAGTATGAAGTCCA